GCCTCTTCTTCCTTAGGATGCTCAAATCCATCACTTTCCTGTGCAGCCATACCCATAACTATACTTTAAATTGACTCACATTGATAAAAGCCTCTCTCTTTTTTATGTGAAAATGCAARAAAAAAAAAAAAAGCCCCTCCCTGCCGCATAATGGATGCTGGAACTGACGAGGGAACATTACGTGGCAACAGAGGTACACAGGTGTCGATTGCGCGGTGCAAAAAAATAAAATAAAAGCAGTAATGCATTGCACGTCTTGCTAACTAACCCTGAGCATATCCAGAGGCATCTGGCAAGGTCAACATCCCTACCCATTCAAGGGAGCTAGGACAGCTGGCATGCTGTGATGGGTAGGTGAACCACCAATTCCTTGTGAAAAATCAGGTCAACCCCTGCAGACAGAGAGGGAGAAAAAGAAACATATGGCCTTCAGATTGTCAATCCAAAGGCCCAACTGAAAAAGGGTGGCCCTGTGGGCCTTCTGGTATTCAGGAATCCAGGGTAGCTCTAGAATGTTGAGTGGTGCTTTGCCTTACAGACATACACATACTCAAAGTTAACCATTCCTTTCACTGTCACTAGCAGTTGTGTATTTGAGCACTTCGAAAAGACATAATTATCTGCTGTTAGTGTGTAATGAGGAGTGGTTGGGTGAGCATTTTGATCACAATTCAATCGCTGATAGGGTTGGTCCTTGCTGACACCCTATACTTTCGCAGATATTTGTCTGATCTATGATTGGTTAATCACATGATGAGAGGAGAGCGCTTCTACATCATTCAATAATAATCAATGTTCCTTGTTTTCTGGGGGTTTAGCACTTACACCTCATGCTCTTTTTCTGTGTTTTTTTTTTTGTTGTTTTTTTGTTTTTTAATAACATTTATTTGTCAAACGGTGAGAAGGTGGGTCAGTAGTGTCGTTTATAGAACTTCGTTTTCTCTTCGGAATGATAAGCACTTGCCAGTGCTGTTAAATTAACAGAAGTTAAAAAAAAAAGTCCCCAAATTTTCATCCAAGCCTCCCATTTTTGAATTTTGGAATGAATTTTCCGCCCGATGTTTTCCCTTCATCTTCCTCTCAAACTCGTTTGGTGGATTTGTGATTTGTGGTTAACGGCATCCTCACACTTACACTTTTCTGAACGTATGTGGCCAAAATTACAGCCAGGTTCCGTCAAAAAGTTCCTATGGCGAGTATGCTCTGAGGGAGCCATACCGTCCGGGTTCATTGTCACTTAAGCGCTCACCTTTTTTTTTTTTTTTTTTTGAAATTGTACTTCAGAGGCAACACCGACTAATGTTTTATTCAACTCCATGACCGAACAAATTGTACCTGCCAGGTGGCTGAATTATACACAGCTCGGTGTTCTGACCTATGATCAGCAGATCTGAAGTTTAAATCCTATCCACGACAACAATGTTAGGTGCTTATCCCCTCTGAAAAGGAGAAAGAAAGGGAGAAAAGAAAGCTTTTGCCTTCGTCAAATGCTGTTGGGGGCAAATGGTTCACACCGAGATCGTCTAGCCACGAGGATGGTCCAAACCTCAAATGGTGTTAGGGGCAACCATACAAATATTACAGAAGACTACTACGATTCCCTTTTTTTTCGTACCAAAAAAAAAAAAAAAAGGCATGGACCACTTTAACTCTTACGAACTCAAAATATATATATATTATATTTTTATATATCAGCATCAGAGAACGTCTCATTTGTATTAGCAAACGATTCCACAGTGATGTAAACTTGTACACGACCAGCATGGGCAACGTGGATACGGCACCGTTGTTTGTACCCTCGTCCGTTCCCCCCATTTCTGTCCCCCCCTTCATCCCTTGTCGCCCCCCTCCCCCTCCCAGATGTTTGGTGGTCCGGCTTTCGAACCATGGTCAAGTTCCCAGTTTCCTTGCTGTTTGGTTTGGTGCTTTAGTTTGATCAAGGCTTCGCTGAATGCGTTGACAGTGTTTGCTTGCTGGTAGATCAGGTAGGGAAGTTGAATTTGGTGGACCTGGCAGGATCAGAGCGTGTGCGAACGACGGGAGCGACCGGGAAGAGGCTTGAAGAGAGCAAGAAAATAAATCAGTCTCTCTCCTGCCTGGGGAATGTCATCTCAGCGCTGACAGAGACAAAGGGGAGACAGCATATTCCGTACAGGGATTCCAAACTTACCAGGTGGGTGGGTCGGTGGGTTGCACTGTGTTCCTTTGTTCTTACCAGGATAATGCATGCTGCTTTTGTTTTCACGGGTAATCATGGATGCCTGCCTGCTTGCTTGCTTGCTTCACCGTATTGTTTTGCTCCTTCCAAATGCTTCCCAACCGACGACAAAATGTGGACAAGACACTGTAAAAGCATGTGGAAAAAACAAGAGAGAGCGGGAGAGAAGCCATTCGATCACCTGGTGGGAGTTTTCCGTCTTTCCTTTTTTTTTTTGTATGCGTGTGCATGTGTGTGTGTGTGTGTGTGTGTGTGTGTGTGTGTGTGTGTGTGTGTGTGTGTGTGTG